AGTGAGAGGAGATGAGAGAGTGAGAGAGGGGGAGAGTGAGAGAGTAAGAGAGTGAGAGAGTGAGAGTGAGTGAGAGAGTGAGAGAGAGTGAGAGTGAGAGAGTGAGAGTGAGAGAGAGCGTGAGAGTGAGTATGAGTGTGAGAGTGAGTGGAGTGAGTGTGAGAGTGAGTGTGAGTGAGTGTGAAGAGTGAGTGTGAGTGAGTGTGAGAGTGAGTGTGAGAGGGGAGGTGTGTGAGAGAGTGTGAGAGAGTGAGTGTGAGAGAGTGTGTGTGAGTGGTGTGAGAGTGAGAGTGGAGTGTGAGGAGTGAGAGTGGGTGTGAGAGTGAGAGTGGGTGTGAGAGTGAGTGGGTGTGAGAGTGAGTGAGTGTGAGGATGAGTGAGTGTGAGAGAGTGAGTGAGTGTGAGAGAGTGAGTGTGAGAGAGTGAGTGTGAGAGAGTATGGAGTGTGAGAGTGAGGTGTGAGTGTGAGAGTGAGAGTGGGTGTGAGAGTGTGAGAGTGAGAGTGAGTGAGCGCGAGTGAGCGCGAGTGAGAGTGAGTGAGAGGCGAGTGAGAGTGAGAGCGAGTGAGAGTGAGAGCGAGTGAGAGTGAGCGCGAGTGAGAGTGAGCGCGAGTGAGAGTGAGCGCGAGTGAGAGTGAGTGAGAGCGAATGAGTGAGAGCGAGTGAGAGTGAGAGCGAGTGAGTGTGAGTGAGTGAGAGGGTGAGAGTGTGTGTGTGTGTGTGTGGTGTGTGTGTGTGTGTGTGTGTGTGTGTGTGTGTGTGTGTGTGTGTGTGTGTGTGCGTGTGTGTGTGTGTGTGTGTGCGTGCGTGCGTGCTGTGCGTGCGTGCGTGCGTGCGTGCGTGCGTGCGTGCGTGCGTGCGTGCGTGCTGCGTGCGTGCGTGCGTGCGTGCGTGCGTGCGTGCGTGCGTGCGTGCGTGCGTGCGTGCGTGCGTGCGCGCGATCGATCTCTACAGGCGCCTAGATTATTATAAAATTCACAATGAAAGAGGAAAGGTCTAAGCGGTGGGCAAATTGATGAACTGTATTCGACCGTCAGGTGCTATTGCAGACGGAGGGTCCAGTAACACCTGTAAAAAGGCAGCTAAAGAATAAGTGTGCGCCCGATCGTCAATCAACAGAGTTATCTCAAAGTGACGATTCCTGTTGAAGGAAATAAGCCAAACACCCACGTCCTGCTGAACCCTGTATAACTTGCTTTTCGTTTGTTGGGCTCATTGGCCCCGTCACTTCCCAAGAACCGAGGTATGTCTACGACTCATGAAGGCACTAAAGAAAAAGGGCTGTTACAGAGCGAGCTCGAAACAACATTTGCTTCTGCATATGTCCGTGCATTTACCAGGACACCAACATAACCCAGACACCACCAAAGCTCAACATCCTTGTGCCACACATGGAAACGAACTAACTACTGCGGGATCTTTTGGACTACAGGATAAAGAGTGGCATGCTGATTAAGAGCAAAGATACAAGGAGACACTGAGAATCTGACAATGAACAGGGATCCAATTAAGCTAGCTAATAGGACAAGAATCCGAGGATTGTTCGGATTTCCAATATGAACACAGACGACCCTCTTAGTAAGTGAGCACAAGTCCTCACCGACAATCGCATCAAAGCCAACACAACCCTTGCCATTTGACCAGTCACTGAAGACCATCTTTGCGACATTAACATAATCATGCCCAAAGAAATTAGCTAAGGGCATCTCAGATGCTCGGCACTTAAGGGTACTCATTAACTGCGTACAAAGAAGAATCACAGGTACTGTTCAAGGAGGGTAGGAAGGGAAGCCAACCCCTCTCTCACCACAAACACATCAAAGCATAATCCAGGAGAAGGGCCCCCGCATCTGAATACCAAATAACACAGGAAGTTTTCTACAACAAGGAAAGAGCTTCCTCGCTCTCCGCAATATTCGACCTTTGCTAAATTTCGAATTTTTTTTTTTCTACTTCTGGAGCCCAGCCCTGGACCAGATTTGTCTTGCGTTTGTCTAGTCAAACACAGGCCATCAGTAGCTGCTGCTACTGATGGCCTGCTAGTACACATATCCATCACATTCTGGTTGATTTGGCATTGGTGGAGATACTTGTCCAGTCTCTTCTTGAAGACATCTACACATGTCCCAGCAGTACTTCTGATATCTTCTCTTACAATGTTGAACAATTTGGAACCACGTATGCTGACAGTGTTCTCTGACTGAGATTATGGCACCTCTGCTTTTCATTGGGCTTATTTTACACTTTCTCCCCAATCTTGCTCACTTCAGTATGTTATGGCAGTAAGCAGATTTGGGACAAAGCCCACAAGTACGTTCCACGTATATATCATCTGGTGAGCGTACCCTGGATTTCCTCATGGAGATGCAGGGTACGCTCACCAGATTCAACAAAGACTCAACAGGGGAAACATGAAAGGTACCTGGGCAAAGATTTATTCCACGGGGAAGAACAGGAATTAGCAAGCATGGCAGGGAAGAGCTGACAAAGGAGTAAATCTGGCAACCACACTTCAGTCAGGAGCGGCACAAAGCCACATACAGGCAAAGTATGGTTTTCCAATCTGCTCTCAAAATACAGTGCGAGAGAGCCTTAAGAATATCTAGCGCCAGCAGGACATTCATTTTGAGCTTTATATGTGAAGCCCACAACGTATGAGTAAGATCATCTCCCTTAAAATGTCACCTGTCACTCATAGGGAAGGACTACACCATGAAGTAGCCCAGAGAGAGCAGGCCGTCAAAACCCAAACCCAGTATAACGAACAACTCCATCATGTAAGAGGAAAACCAATAGCCATTAGAAGCAGCCCACTCCGTGATGGTGTCCACTGCCACCTGAAGCCTTGCAGTTGGTGAGAAAATAAAGGTAACAATGACCCTAACATTAACAGCACAGTATATAATACCATTGATACCTGTCTGACACAGCAATATCATGGAATCTTGGTACACCATTATCGTTAACCTTTGGCTTAACTCTTGGGCATGACCTACTTCCACTAGTGGGTTCCAATCACCTGTGATGATGCTTTCAAATGCTACACCACTCTTCTGGCTCCAATATGTAAGTGTCCATCTATTTGCCTCTGTTGTAGATTAATCAAGACTAAGGGACTGGATACCTATCAAAGCTGAGGAACCGATTACCTCATCTTTCATCACCTCGATAGTAGTGAATTGACAAAGTAAGTGGATGGCGAAACTTTGCGATAAAGATACCCCAAGCACTGTACACGAGTCTTATTCAATAATGAGCCATTCCACAATCCCCACAGGTAAATTTAAGTAATGGGGGAAAAATTCCTGCTACATAAAGTAGGGGGTGAGGCAAGCCGCTCAAACCTTACCACCACGTTAAAGTGATCCAACGTCGGGGGGATTGGGGTCAGTTGTCGTGGTGGCTGCAGTGGTGACCAAAAGAGCCACAGGGTACAACAAGATCTCCATTACCAGAAACATTCATGCAATCACTAACCCCACTCAGGTGTCCTTGACGTCAAGGTCATGTTAAGACTCGCCAGAACTGTAACATGACACCACCACCATGACCTACACTACAAAAACCACAACCATGATGATCAACATCTGAACCACGACCAACACCGCTATCAAAACCAGTACCACAACCACCATGACGACCATCATGAAAGCGAATATCATAAATAGTACAAATATTTAATTCTCTTTCTTGGCTGCAATATTTTTTTTTTCATTATTTACAAGCCCTTGCCCTTCTCTACTAAATTCTTTGATATTCCCTATTTTTATATCAAACATTTTTATCTTGAAGGTTCCAAGAATTATCGCCTTGCGGTCTGATCACAGACCCGGCCTCCTGATTCATGGTCTGGTTACTTTCCTCCAGCTGATCTGAAACTGTCTGGCGGCACTTTTCAAGTTCCCTCGTAAAGCCAAGGTTCTAACTACCTGTTGTTGAACTCGGAAGTCACTGCTCCCTCATCCACCAGCGGCTCTTCAGATATAAAGTCGTATATACTTTACATTTACTACACAGATGTATTTACTGCACTTGTGTATACATGTACACGACACCTGGAGAAACCTTTAAGGTCAGGTAAACACAGGATATCCAGAAAAGCCTATACGAAAACACCAAAAATACTATATACAAACAATACGTATCACAGTCATTCAAATTAACCATTTTTTTTTTCAACAAATTCCTCCTGGAAATAGAACTGAAACCATAACCAAGACCTCATCCTACTTAATGAAACATGGGCAACAACACACCAACTAGAGAAAAAATCAAGGTGTCCTCTCAGTGGAGTAGCAATTCTAAATTTAAAAAAAAAAAATTGCAACATTCAACTTGACAAGGATCACGTAGTTGTATTTCAAATATCTACATGGCATGTCAGCGGCTACAGCCATGCCACCCCCAGATATGCATCCTAAGGCAGTCTACACCCTCCCCCCCCCACATACAATTCTCACTTCCCTGCGCTCTGTCTAGTTAAATAGGGTATGAGTTTGCTTTTGTTTGTTTCTACGACGTTCTCTGTTTGGAAGCACCCAGCCTGCCAAGCTACGACGTCACGCCCGACATCACCCCACGTCATGCCTTGACGTCAGCTGCAACATCGCCCCACGTGACATCACGCAGCAATGTCACACCGCCAGTGTTATTTTGCTATTTCATAGTGAGCAATTTAAAGTGTTTCCAGTAATCTCTGGGAAATTAGAGAGAAAATTTTGAAATGTTTAGTGTTGCCCAGTCAACAGAGCACGTGTTCAACCAGGTACCGTAGCTAACATGTTATACCACTGTTCCATAACCACGTATGTTCTTAAGTGCCGTGTCTATTTTTGCACAGAAAAGCATCATTTTGAGTGTGGACTGTGCCTAGACCAACATAACACATCCCTTAGGGTTACAGGTCACCGGGCCGCGGGGGCGTTGATCCCCGGAATCTCAGACTGACTCTTACAGTCAGTCGTGGTGTCAGGTGCGTGACCAAACACCCGACTCTCGCTGATGTCACCTCACCAGAGACGTATCGCCTTCAACTCCCACACGCAGTCATTCTCTGGCAACTATCATCTACCGGCATCGCTGAAGGTACCTTCGCCTGAGTCGTCCTGCGGCTCACCCACTCGTCGCTGTCGTCTCCACGACACCCCACTCGCTGGCACCACCAGATCGTGCCATCACTGAGTCACCCCTGCCAATGACTGCCTTACCTTACCTTTCTTATACCTTTGAAGAATTTCGAAAGTATATGTACTCTGAGCCCGGCCATGGGCCAGGCTCGTCTGGTCAACCAGGCTGTTGCTGCTGGAGGCCCGCTGCCCCCACATATCCATCACAGCCTGGTTGATCTGGCACCTGGTGAAGATACTTGTCTAGTTTCCTCTTGAAGGCTTCAACACTTGTTCCAGCAGTGTTTCTGATATCTTCTGGCAAGATGTTGAAAAGTCTGGGACCCCGGATGTTGATAAAGTGTTCTCTTATTGTTCCCACCGCACCCCTGCTCCTCACTTTGTTTATTTCACACTTCCTCCCATATCTCACTCCAGTATGTTATGGCAGTGTGCAGATTTGGGACCAAGCCCTCGAGTACCTTCCAGGTATATATTATCATGTACCTCTCTCTACGCTCCAATGAGTACATGTTCAAGACTTGCAGGTGTTCCCAGTAGTTCAGGCGCTTTACTGGCTCAATGTGAGCCGTAAACGATCTCTGTATTTGTTCCAGCTCCGATATTTCTCCTGCCCTGAACGGGGCCGTCAGCACTGAGCAATATTCTAAGCGAGGGAGCACTAGCGATTTCAAGAGTGTCACCATCGGCATTGTTTCCCTTGTTTTGAAAGTTATCAATACCCACCAAGTCATCTTCCTGGCTGTCGTGATCTTTGTCTTATGGTCTTGAAAAGAAAGGTCCGCTGACATAATTATTCCTAGGCCTTTTACGTGTTTCTTACGTTCTATTTGGTGACCCTCTTGAGTTTTGTATATAGTGCTCCTTTTGAGTTCATTCTTCCCATACCTAAGCAGCTGGAACTTATCACCATTGAACGTCATGTTTTCCACTGCCCACTGGAAAACCCTGTTTATATCTTCCTGTACTTTTTCAGTGTCCTTTACCGTACTGACTTTCATGCTTATTTTAGTGTCATCTGCAAATGATGATACAAAAGTGTGCCGGGTGTTTTTGTCTATGTCTGCTATGAGGATGAGGAACAGCAGAGGTGCCAGAACAGTGCCTTGGGGCACTGAGCTTTTGACCTTGCTGATGCTGGATCTTGCCATGTTCACTACTACTTTTTGTGTTGCGTGTGTTAGGAAACCGAAAATTCATCTGCCTACCTTCCCCGTAACGCCCACGGCCTTCATTTTGTGCGCTATCACTCCATGATCGCATTTGACAAACGCCTTTGCAAAATCTGTGTAAATCACATCTACGTTTTGGTCGTCTTCCAATGCCTCCGTAATTCTGTCATAATGGTTCAGCAGCTGTGACAGACATGATCGTCCTGCTCTAAAACCATGCTGGTTCGGGTTATGTTGGTTGTGCTGGTCCATGAAATTTGTAACCTGCCGTCTCATCACTCTTTCGAAGCTTTTATGATGCGAGAAGTTAGGGCTACTGGTCTGTAATTTTTAGCTAGTGCTCTACTACCTCCCTTAAGCAAAGGAGCTATGTCTGCACTCTAAGGCCTCCGGTATTTCACCTAGATCTAAGCTCTTTCTCCAAAGAATACTGAGGGCTCGTGCTAGTGGTACTTCACACTTTTGTAAATAGAGCATTCCATGAAACTGATTCAGGTGCTGAGTGGGCATCTTTTCAATTTCGTTTTCGAAATCTATGGGATTTGTACTAATGCCAGTTAGTTGGTCTGTGCGGCCTTCTTCTGAAGTGAAAAATATTTCTGCATTTTCTACCTTGCTGTCATTTAGTGTTTTGCTGAACACCGACTCATACTGTTCTTTTAGGATTTCATTCATTTCCTGTTCGTCGTCAGTATACGAGTCTCCTCTCAGTAGTGGTCCAATTCTACAGGTAGTTCTTAGCTTGGATTTTGCGTAGGAATAGAAATATTTTGGGTTTCTTGCAGTATCCTCTATGGCCTTTTGTTCCCATTGTACTTCTGTGAGGTATGACATCCTAAGTTTTTGCTCTAATTCAGTGATCTCTCTGCTAAGTCTATCTTTCCTCTGTTGTAGCATATTTGTGTTTTTAAGCAGTTCACTAACCCGTTTTCTTCTTCTGTACCATCTCCTACGCTCTATCTGATCTTCCTCTGGGTTTCCTCAATGGTACATGTTTCATACATACTTTGTATGCTTCTGTATTCAGCTTCTCTAGGCACTGGTGGGGATTTAGGGTGCTCATGTCTGATTCCCAGGATGTCTGATAGCTCTTGGTTTATTTTTTCCCAGTTATTTCTATGGTTGTTAAAATTAAACTTACTGAATATCCCATCTCTAACTTTAGCGATGCAGTTTCCTACCCCTGAGTTAATACTAGTTTGAACCTCTATGATGTTATGATCAGAGTAAATAGTTTTGGAAACTGTTGTCTGAGCAGTTCCTCGTTGTTTGTGAATATCAAATCCAGAGTATTTTCATTTCTAGTGGGATCAATTACCTGTTGGTTTAAAGAGTACTTTTCACAAAACCTCATAATTTCCCTGGTATGTACCTGTTGAGCCAGGGTGCTTCCCGGGGATATTTCTGGTATAACATTATGTTGTGCCATCTTTCATTTTACATGAGGGAGATTAAAATCTCCAAGGAGTAAAATATTTGGTGTAGGATTTTCTAGCCTATCCAGATAGCTATCTATCTTACTTAACTGATCTGTGAATTCCTCAGCAGTTGCCGATGGTGGTTTGTATACTACGATAATTACAAAATTCCTATTTTCAACTTTAATGCCCAGAATTTCTACTATATCATTCGTAGAATTCAGCACTTCTGTGAAACAGAAAGTATCCTTTACATAGATTCCTACTCCTCCCTGTGACCTATTGATTCTGTCACAGCTATACATGTTGTAGTTTTCTATCTTTATCTCTCCATCCAAAACATCCCTTGTATGTGTTTCTGTAAATGCTCCGAATATGGCATTCGCCTCTGTCAGGAGCCCACTGACATAAATAACTGTCATTTTTATTTGATTTCAAACCCTGTATATTTGCAAATATGAAGCAGGAATTACCGAGTGGGATGTTTTGTCTGGCTTTGTGTTTCATTAGTACCACTGGTGGTGTACTACCTGGTATGTCCCCTGGTGTACACTCCCCTGGTTTTGTCAGCATAGTTGCTGATCCCCTTATATGTGTTATATAGATTAGCTGAGTATCATAGTACCATCCATGTGTTTATATAGAAGATCCCTTAGGCCGAGTGACTGTATGACGTCACAGGATACAGCACGAGTCAGGGAGACGAGCTGCCTCCTCCTCACTCAGAGTATAGACATCCAGGCAGTAACACGCACGGCAGGTTGGGCCCATCCATTGCTTATCACAGTCTGACAATATATAGTGTTTCCATCCAACAAGGTGTTTACCTTCAACCCTCGTATCTCCTTAAGAACCCCTACGACAAATTGGTGGCAACGGAGGGCCTGTAATCCTGACAATTACAGCGATTTCTGGAGATAAATTTCTACCGAGACGGTCCCCATCTTGTGACTAGGCCTGCCGAGCAGGGTAACGCTCTACCTACCTCAAGCCAGCCAGCTACCCCCGCAAGCGTCTACCAGCCTCTACATTATTTACTGGTCAGTCTCTTTGTTAGTGTTTATCTGCTTATTTGCATCACTCCCAAGGGGTTGACCCGAGTTTGCAAAGTAAGCCAAACCAGTAGAAAGTCTGTGGTGAGGGAGTCCAGTCCAGCCTAGCCTTACATCATCCAGCCTTTTACCTGCCAAGTCAGCTTTCCACCCCTGCTGTGCTCATCGTGAGAAGTTATCAAGCCATTCTGTGTGAATGGTTAAGATAAGCCAGCCAGCAACTAACCCAGGTGTCTTAATCCAGTACTCAAGCAAGCCACGTGGGTACAGTCTTCCTCATCGCTTGTGCTTCAAGCTCCAAGCCATTCTGAGTGCTTTTTCATCCCTGTGGTGTTGTGGTAATTCGTGGGTTTGTTTTTAAGCCAGCCGGCTTAGAAATATTTTCGCGCCAGTCAGGGTGTCCCCGATTAAGCTCCTATAGATTCATTCATTACTTATTAACGTAGCCGAGCGGTCAGGCACTAGTAATACTGTCACTCCTGTCTGGACTCCAGCCACAATATCATGCACGCAGGATAGTGCTGAGACTACTATCCTTGCGATGGCGACTTGTTCAAGTACTTGTTCCTTCCCAGGGGACGGTTTGAGAAGAACTTTACTTGCAACGAGTTATGCCATCTCTTGTTGATGCCACAAGCCGTTGCAGAAAGACGTTTCTGTGGCTAGTGTGCTCACTTGAGTGTTGTTGTTGTCTCTTGTGTTCCAGATTGTGATCCCATCCTAGTTGACAGTAATTTCGTGCAATGTAAAAAGTTCTATCGAGTAACTTTCACATGTTGTTAACGTTTGTAAGTGTAGTTTCTTTATAGTTAATACCTCGTGTCACTGTGTGCGACTCAGATTGAACATCAGTATTGTTGACCGTGTTCATTTATTTTTCCCTGTGCTTGCAGTGAGATAGTAGACTCGTTCTCCCATGCTCATATTGCGTGTTATAGCGTTATTTTTTTTTAAACCGGGGAGAGTCATCCACTCCACCGAGTTTGTTCATTCCTCCAGTAAGAAAGAACCGATCCCTTATGTTCTGGTGTGATTCGACCCCTGCTCCTGGAGTTTACCTGGAGAGAGTTCCGGGGGTCAACGCCCCCACGGCCCGGTCTGTGACCAGGCCTCCTGGTGGATCAGAGCCTGATCAACCAGGCTGTTGCTGCTGGCTGCACGCAAACCAATGTACGAGCCACAGCCCGGCTGGTCAGGAACCAACTTTATGTGCTTGTCCAGTGCCAGCTTGAAGACTGCCAGGGGTCTGTTGGTAATCCCCCTTATGTATGCTGGGAGGCAGTTGAACAGTCTCGGGCCCCTGACACTTATTGTATG